AGTTTCATCAGAACGAGACTTGTAAACCGGAAAGAGTGGAGCACCGAAAGTGCAAAATGCCCGTCGTAGCCGAACAGCGCGCAGAATTCACCAATTAGTTACCAGGCAACAACTAATTCTCCAAAATTCATAAATGAGTTGATGGGCCTTTTAACGGTACTCCCTTGACGGGGGCATTCAGAGGGCTCCTCGTGCAAAAACGGCTTGGAGTCGTTTGAAAAAATTCCGTACTCAATACTGGTGCACCCACCTTGAGTCATCGTGTTCAGGAGTCGCCGTGTTCATCGCGTGTTCAGAAGTCGTCGTGTCCATCGCGGTTATTCTAGTTCTGCACGGAGAGCCCCTTATAAATGCCCCTCCACGGTTATTTGGGAAACGCTCCTTATAAGGCCATGCTATTCGTAAGCACACACGAAAAAAAAGATAAAATGTAATTCAAACAAGAAATAGCGCTTTAAGGGTGCATTGTCACTCAAGAGGGGACCTCCACGTCGTTGACGTGTTAAAACGTGCCATTACAGAACATTTCATCAGATGTTATGCATATGTCGTCGTGTGAAATGTTCAAACATGTCACGGATGGTTATCGTCCGAGTAGACGATTGCAGCCCCATAGTACCAGCTTGAACATTGAAGTTTTATTTTTAAAAACTGATTATGTGATGAAAAATAGAGGAGGCAAATGTGCCGACACAACTACCTAGTTCCCCACCACCAGTAATCCGCAAATACTGTAACTCCGCAAATAAGCTGAAGGTGAATTACTCACAGTTTGTTAGTAATTGGTTTAGTACTCACAGCTTTTGTTGCATCTCTCATTGTCTAGAGCACTTCTCAGCAGTAATTGACATCTATTTTGCCTGGTCGATTTCCGAGTCCTTAACTCTGTGGCTTACACTCGTATTAGCAGTGGTGGGGGCCTGCTAGGAAGATAATAATATCAAGGTATTCCGGGTGGGTAGTGCAATTGATGAAGACAGGCAAGTACATACGTTGCGCTGATGTTTTATGCAATGAGATGAACCTGGAATGTAATGGAAAACGTTTCGATGAGCTAAGCAGACAGATTTGGTACGGCTAACCTTGGGGAATGAACGGGGGAAACTGTTCTTCAAGAGGCGTTTCCCATGAATCTAATCCTTCTTTTGATCACTTTGCTGCCATCCTTCCGACAATGGAATCTATTTGGGAGGAAAATGAAAGCCTCTTAACCGTGAATCATTACCTGAGGCTATAGATTGGCAAATAGAGTGGCACGCTGTAAATCAACTGTGAACGATTCGAATGACGGGTAGAAGTGACTTGAAATGTATACGTATCTTTAAGGTCCTACACGTCCCATATTTTTCATTTTGGGTAGTAGGCAAACTTCTACGTTTGGAAGGCAAGTGGCAATATAGATTCCCAAAGCCTTTTTGTAATAATCCGCCTTGCAGAAAAGAATTCGGCTCTTCTGAGCACGCGTTGCGCCTTTTCCAAGACAGGTGCCCTTATAGCGCTCTATTGCGCCGCAGCATACCGACCCGGACGTCCACCGAGCCTCTCGCACCCCAACCTCGCGCAACCATTTGGGTCTTGAAAGCCCAGTGAGCGGAAAGAAGTGCAGATCGAAAATTGAGCTGTTTCGCACATTTCAGGAGAGATTAGAAAGGCGCATACCTTGCAGACATATTTGAAGGTCTGGCGGGTCCGATGCGGCGAAGCGCTGAGCTATAGTCGTTGCTTTTCTGTTGCGTTTCCACTGTATACTTTTCCATTTGTTTGCTTAGTCAAATCAATGCGTTAGAACAGTCGGAAATGCGATTATGTGGCTTGTTCCAGGCTTTTTTCGGTAATGTACACTATTACTGCGTGGACTTCAACAGCTAGTGCTCAGAGAACCATCTACGTGAATGAAGCAGCTCACTCTGAGGAATCCTTAGCGTGAGCTACTTTAGGTCCCCAAGGCGTAGAAGGGAGGTTGATCAAGGCTTCAGGTAGTGAGGGAAGAGGAGCTGTAGTAGACTCAGCAGAAATTAAATAATGACTTTGCAGTTCTACCGTTTCTGCTGTTTCTGAGGGTAGATTGAAATCGGATGCCCCTTTAGTCATCCTTCTTGCTTCTATTAGGTTGTTCGGAAAGGAATGCGCGTTGACTTTGTCTATTTATTTCTCTTCTACTATAGGAGATTTTTCAAAACAGTTTTGTCCATTAGAGAGAGGTTTTTATTGCGCATCTTTTGTATATTTTTCTGCATATTCTATTAGGTTGTCCGGAAAGTTCTTAGCGTTTTGGGTGTTTAACTTTAAACGATCATAACTTTCTTAACACTCATCGGATTTAATCCAAATAAGCACCATTCGAATCAGCACACTTTTGCCAATGTGCAGCAGTCGAGAAATCCCATCAAAGAAAAAACTGGGTGGTCGAGAATCCACGAAATCTGCGAAGGTCTTTTTTGCCTGGTCTTAATTGATGAAGTATTTTTCAGCAAGGAAGTTCTGAAAATGTCTGAAAAGGTGACAGTCGGTTGGTGAAAGGTCTAGAGAATATGGTGGGTGAGGTAGAACTTCAACTCCCAATTCGTTCAATTTGGATAGTGATTTGTGAAACGTGTGGGCGGGCGTTGTCATGCAAAAGAATCGGACCCTTTCTTTTGATAAGTGTTGGCTGCAGCTGACAATATTTTCGGTACATTTGGTCGGTTTGTTCACAGTAGGGTTCTGCTGTGATGGTTTGGCCTGGTGATGAAAAGTTATAGTGGATTACAACAGCCGATGACCACCAAACCTGACCAGAATTTTTTTCGCGAGGGTTCGGCTTTGAAAATTACCTCGGTGGTTCCTCCAAATCCAACCACTGTCCGGAACGTCTCCTGTTATCATACATGATCCATTTTTCATCACAGGTGACAAATCCGTTCAAAAACGGGTCAATTCTTTTGCGCAAAAGCAGTGAAGAAGGAACCTCGAGACGTGCCGATTCCTGCCGGTCACTCCGATTGTGGGGCACCCAATTGTCGAGTTTTTTCACCTTCCCAATGCGTTCCACCATCTGCAACAGTGGATTTGCCAAGGCCTAGCTCTTGCTATCTCCTCGAACTGTTTGGGATGGGTCAACCTTCAAAATCCCCCTAAAATCCTCGTCAGATATTGCTTTAGGTCGACCGCTATGAGGCTCACCTTCAAGGCTGAAATCTCCAGAGCGAAATTTATTGAGCCATTGCCGCACAGTGCTTTCTTAGCACTATTGGGCCCCCACACCTGGTTAATTTGTTGAGCTGTTTCGATTGCGGATTGCCCCAATTTATAGTCGAAGAAAAAAATCGTCCGAAGTGCTCTTTTCACATGCTTGAAAAAATCTTGAAAAAAGAGGGTTTATCAAGCAATGGTGAAACGGCAATTATACCATCAGATAGCGCAAGAAATTCTCTACAGGATGTGCTACTGAGAAGCAAGGCAGAATGAGTTTTTAATCAGCAGTGAATGTACAAAAATTAGGTGCACAAAACGCTAAGAACTTTCCGGACAACCTAATAGGTTGTTCGGAAAGGAATGCGCGTTGACTTTGTCTATTTATTTCTCTTCTACTATAGGAGATTTTTCAAAACAGTTTTGTCCATTAGCAGAGTCCTAACGACGCACTTGGGTGGACCTAATGACCCACTCGGCTCACAGGGGCAGCGGGCGGACCTAGCGACACACTCGGCGAGAAAACTGGCAAAAAGAGGCTCTTTTGACCTACATTTCCTCTCCGGCGGACCTAACGACACACCCGAGGGGAAAAGTAGTGAAAGAGGCTCTTTTGGCGAAGTTTTTGCGTACAGTTGGCAACAAGTCATTGCTAGTAATGGAGATTATCTTTTAGATTGACCTTGTTTAATTTCGTTTTTATAATAAAAATTTTTTTACACTCAAACGCGCATTCCTTTCCGAACAACCTAATACAAGCGGCCAAAAGACACCTTTTCCCCTCGATTACAAATCAAGCTGAACTTTAACAAATTTTGTTTGGACACTTGCACCATCAAAATCAACAACGCAATGCACAATCACGAAACTCCCCACAGCCTTCTGGACGAACGCCATCGAGAGATTCTGCCACGCGACCGTGATTCGGTGCCTGAGTTCAGCGAGGTCGTTGATTTCTCCGTCACTGTAGACCACCCTGTTGAGCTCTTGGACCCGGTAATTGAGGGAGTTTAGGCAGGTGACACACTTGGATATTCCGTCTTCTTCAGGTACTCAACGCCCTTCGATTCCAAGTAGGCGAGAGTTTTTCCAACGCCCTTCGATTCCATGTGGTGGCACCCAATCCTGTAGCAGTACGAAGTTTCCAAGATGGTACAGGCGACGACATGAAAGCAGGATATTCTCCTCGAGTTGGTCGATGTAACCGTCAGCGTTCACTTCAGTCCGGAGTCCACGAAGAAAATATCGGTCTTTCCATTCCAGGACTTCCGGTCCATGCCATCAACCCGCGCCTTGGCGCTTCAGAGAAGATGATATCCTGGAAGGTAGCGAGCTGTCGGAGCTGTTCGATGTTGGAGGTCTTCCAAGTCAAGGGTGCCGGTCTCCAGTTCATGAGTGATTCCACACAAGAAGTTTCGCAGCTGTTTGGAGGAGACGTGAATTCCTTAGGCCTTCTCTTATGAGGGCGGCGATTGAAAATGGCTTCATATTTTGGTGTACATGAAGGATATGGACATGAACCCATTCCTGCTTATCCAGGAACATCTTGGGCACTGTCTGGGCCGCGTAAACTTTACCGATATGTGACTCGGCCGAAGTGTCGTTTTTTGGCCTCCCTGCATATCTGAGTCCTTGGCTGTCCTCTCAATGGCGTTTCTGTTTTCTAGCATTTCGCTTGAGACTTCTCACCCGCGCTCACTGTGTCTTTCCTCCTCCTCATGTATCGCTGAAAATCTACAGGAAAAAGCACATCATGACTCCACAAGATTTCTCCCTCACTTATCAGTTAATGAGCATCGGCAATTTCATACTTGGATCTGATTACCCACTAATTCCAATCACGGAATCTGTTATTAAGGGTGTCTGTCTTCTCGAAACCGTAGGGGCTTATCATGGTGCATCCCGATGATGCCGCTACTTTCGTGGCTGATTTGCAGATATTTGGGGAGCTCGCTCCGGCTCGCATTGATATTGCCGTGCTCTGCCAGCAAAACTATTTTCGGAAAATTGGATTATAGTCCGTGGATATCGCATGCAGAAGTGCATATAAACTACGTGGTCTATCATCTGCAGTTTACGCACCAAACCCAGCTCCCTCTCCCTGAAACGCCGCAGCGTCCATAAAGAGCAAGGCTACGCGAGGGCTATGATCGACGCCACCCCTTATCGGGACTTCCACTCAAGGCACACCATCACACTGTTGAAAAGTTTCGAATCACATACCACCTCCTCATGTTGGGTTGAATAGCACTTTCGCAGCACCGACAACTAGGGGAGAAGGGGTTAGTAAGCTTGAAATGGGAGACTGACAAAACAAACAGAAAATTTACTCCAGCAAAGTACGATCTCCTCCCTCCGCCGGCCCAATTCTACCCCCCCCCCCCCATTGCATATAACAAAACGGATAGGGAGCACGGAGAGAGCTTTCGTTTCCTTCATGTGGACACAGTAGTTCAACAACGAGCACCTTTCCAATTTGGAATTCATTCCAGGCAATTTTGAAACATTGTGAAGACTACCAGGAGATGATAGCCATACTGTTGATATAACTGTCATTAGTAGAGTCGTAATTAGCCGGCTCCGCCCCCGTTTCGTTTCCACCATTGATTGCTTCTTTCTGAATCGGTCACTATCCGATCACCATTGGTAGAGCAAGGCAGCCTCAGACGGGCGCATACAGCCCTCGTCACGGCGACTGAAAGCGAATCAGGCAGGGCACATCCCAACAGAGGAGGGTCATTTCCCTGAATGGGGGCGGGATCTTAATGAGGGGGCAGTCAGCACCGAACAGCGCAAAGGTGTCAGTGTGCTTAGTACCGTATAGCGACACTTTGAGCTTTGAGAGAATCCAGATATGTAAAAGACAGTAGAAAATTTAAGTGGCTTAACTACCTCTAAGTGACTAGGATGATAAGTCGGCATAACTTTGTAAGCACGTAGACGGCTCAACAGTACAGCTCAACAGTATACTCTGGTTCGCTGGACAGGGTGTGTCCGAGCGACTACGTCTGGCCGCTGCGCCAGCCTCCTTTTTTCTTCCGGCAAAAGACAAGACTATCATATCGTTCGTATCAGTCGTGGCGCTCAGGCATTGTTCACAGACTGCGACCCAACATTTCTC